AACCATATAACAAATAGAAAAAGAATTGACATACTATTGCCTAATTATTATTTAATTTACACAAAGAAAATTAATCTGACATCTTTACCCACAATTAAAGAAAAAATTTACATAAAATTATGGTTAGACTATTTTTTCACTTCTGATTTTTGCTTAGGGAATCAAACAGTACTTGAACAAAAGTTTTAATAAAACCTATATAATATTATTCGTACCTTTTGAACATAAATCTGCTAAAATTCTCAATTGCAAATGTAACCTAGACACGACTCTTGGAAAATTCCAAATGATTCACCAAGCTGACATGTCATTTGATTGGCCCGCAACCATTTTTTAATTTTACTTATCTGAAATAGAATTGGCTGCTACATCCAAAAAAAGCTGAATTTTTTATGCAGAAAATTTGATTTTTTTCCGGACCAAAATGAAAAAATATCAAAAGGTTTACTAAAAAACTAAGATGATAATTATTAAAAATGAAAGTCTAAATTATTCAAACAGCAGAGTGCTTTAATGAATTTTTCTCTTCATGTCCAAAGCATAAAAATTATAGAACGAAGAACTTAGTTAGCTAGAAGATACTTCTAGAATCAAGAACACATTAAACTTGGGTTACAATGCGTTTATTTCTCGAATCCTCTTCTTGTTACACTGTCAAAATTAGTTATAAAAAAAAATGTTAATTTTTGTCCCGAAAGTTTTTATTTTGAGTTTCATCGGATTCAAAATAAAAAATTAAATTTTCAGGCAAAAATCGGACTTCGTTTTTTTCACTTTTTCTGGAAATGTTACGAGACGGGGATTCTAGACATAAATGCTCCCAATCACAAGTAAATAACCTTTTCTAAAAATCAATTTTCGATTTTCCATCTGCTGAAACTGAAAATAAAAAATTCAATTTTTGTGAAAAGAACCGGATTACGGCTTTCTTACTTTATTGGCACTGTTACAAGATAAAGATTCGATAAATAAATGAGTCGAATCGACACGATCGAAAGGTTACCTAAAAATACAATTTTTTTATTCTAAATCCGGTAAAAGTAAAAGTAAAAAATTTAATTCTCGAGGAAAGAAATCAGATTTGGTTTTTTCTACTTTTTCTGACAGTTACAGGACGATGATTCAAGAAATAATCGCCTCGAATCGACACCATCGAAAAATTATCCAAACAAAGAAATTTTCGATTTTTAATACAGTAAAAGTAAAAATTCAATTCTCGATAAAAAAAATCAGATTTGTTTTTTTTCACTTTTTCTGCCAACCACGAGACGGATATTCGATAAATAGATGCCTTAAATCACGATAATCAAAAACCTTTCAAAAAAAACGAATTTTTGGTTTTCAGTACCGTGAATTTCAAATAAAAAATAATCAAGTTTCGAGAACAAAATCGGTAATTGTCTTTTTCACGTTTCTGAGACTGATACAAGACGGAGATTGGAGAAATAAATGCCCCGAATCATAATGATCCAAAACATTACCTAGAAAACAAATTTTACTTTCTAATATTCGTGATATTGAGGATGAGAAAACCAATTTTCAGGGATAAAAATCGTATTTTTGATTTTTCACGATTTTGACACTATAACAAGACGGGGATTCGAGTAATATACGCCTTGAATCGCCACGACCAAAAAATTAACCAATAAAACGAATTTTCGGTTTTGAATCTGGAAAAAATGAAAATTTAAAAAATTTTATAATATAGGGAAAAAAATCGGATTTAGTTTTCTTCACTTTTCCTGACACAATCAGCTGAAACCGAAAAGCAAAAATTTAATTTTTGCTTAAATAAGCTAAAAATACAAATTTTCGATTTTAAATACGGTAAAACTAAAAGTAAAAAATTCAATTCTCCAGGAAAAAAATCGAATTTTGTTTCTTTCCACTTTTTCTGACAGTTACAAAACGGAGATTCGAGAAATAAACATCTGGAATAATGAAGATCCAAAACTTTAACTAAAAAAAGACTCTGCTATTTTGGAATGCGTCAAATTGAGAATAAGAAATTCAATTTGGGGGGTCGAACTTTTGCTTTTTTACGTTTTAGGCACTAACAAGACGGGGATTGGAGAAATAGACAACCCAAAACATGAAGATCAAAATCCTTTCCTAGGAAAAGAATTTCCGATTTTGAAACACGTGAATTTTAAAAAAAATCAGTTTTTGAGAAAAACATCGGTATTTGTCTTTTTCACTTTTCTGAGACTGATATAAGACGGGGATTCGAGAAAAAAATGTCTCGAATCGCCACGACCGAGTAATTTTCCAACAAAACGAATTTTCAATTTTGAATCTCGTAAAACTGAAAGTAAAATATTTTATATTATGGATAAAAATCGGATTTAGTTTTTTTCACTTTTCCTGACACTGTTAAAAGTCGGGGTAATAAGAAATAAACGCTCCAAATCATGAAGATCAAAAACTTTTCCTAAAGAACGAATTTTCGATTTTGAAACTCGTGAAATAAAAAAAATCGGATTTTTGGTTTTTCATGTTTTTGACACTGTAACAAGACGGGGATTCAAGAAATAAACGACCTGATTCGACAGGATCGAAAAATTTCCCAACAAAACGAATTTTTGATTTTGAATCTCCGCCGTCCTGATTTAAAAAGACACTATCTACATATTTTATGAAAAATAAATAAATTTTATTTTATAGATAAAAATCGGATTTAGTTTTTTTTCGCTATTCCTGACATTGTTGCGAGATGGGAGCTCGAAAAATAAACGCCCTGAATTATCAGTGTTTTGAAAAAGTAACGTAAGAAGGTTCATTAAATTATTAGTTGACTTATATCGACCATTATTACTATGATTTGAGACAATTTTTTGCTTAAAAAATTAGATCGTTATTTGCTTCACTTCTACACAGTTTTCCAAGGTGGATCAAATTGGTCTAAAAAATGGGTTCCAAACGTTGCACCCACACATTTTGAACCGATTTTGTGGTTCAATTTAATCTACCTTGGAAAGCTGTGTAAAAATGACACAAAAAACGGTCTCATTTTCAAAAACTTTTGTGCATCAAAATATTTGTAACGATTTAATGCAATTTTTGGTTTTAATTTTAGAATTTCAGGAAAACTGTGAGTTCCTGAGTCGCTTACCAATAATGTTTAATGTAAAATACCAAAAAATTTCGAGTCTCAATCCGACAAGTTTTACTGCAATATATTGTTTAACTGTCGGGTATTTTTAAATAGAGAAAGCAGTTTTCAAATTGCATATTTAAATGTACATTTATTGAATGAAAACTATCAAGATGCTATTAAAAGTGTCATTAATTTTTACAAAATCTATTCAACAATGCGAATAGTTTGATATCCATTTTGAATAGGACAACATGGGGTGTACAAGTGCCTAAGCCACTATGATCTCTACGCAGTACAGTACCAAGACAAAAGTTGGAAACTGATTTTAATAAAATGTGTAGATTTTAAAGTAAGGAAAAAAAATTGTTTAATGTTATGATAAAGAATTAAAAAATATATATATATATAAAATAAAATGTCATTGTTTATCCTATTGAAAACAATTTTAAGACGTTATTTTGTTGAACGAAAAACTCTTCCTATGAACTGTACAGAAACCTGCCGCGCGCCACTACTTGTATAAGAATGAAAAAGACACATTCATTGAATAGAAAGGGACAGACGTTCTTATGTTCCATATACCTATATATTTTCTAAATACAAAAAAAGCTTTGTCCTAATAGAGTTGCTTATAAAAATTTATTAAATTGATAATTATAAATTTTCGACAATGGCAAACGATATTTTTCTAATGAAAACACTAATGTTAATTAATTAAAATGCTAAATAAATTTTTAAATAAATTTAAATGTTTATTTGCGTGTATCAATAAATAACTAATTTAATGTTGATAAAAAATAATGGACGGATAACCTAGAAATCGTAAAAAACAAAATTATTAATTTTAAAATTATAAAAATTCTATATTTTATAACTTGCCATTTAAACACAATGAATGATATAAACAAAAAGAAAAAAGGGATTTTTAATCACCGTAGCGTAATGTCTTGAAATTTCTCTTTAGTAAAATAGTTCTTTGAATCGCGAGCTTTTTTTGTATGTTGGAACAAGTACCTTTTGTTTATATTTGATATGATATTTGATTTGAAATACATTTTTTTCAGACACTGGTTACAACCTTAGAAAAACTATTCAATGTCCAAATAAAAGTAAACTATAAGGAATTTAAAAAACAAATAAAATATTTAACACAAAATTTAGTGTTAAAATACTGTAGTTGTATACAATGCATAAAAAAATCATTGTCTATAAACCTACCGCTCGCGGTTAGCAAAACGTCTAGATTTTCCTCGCGTAGACGGGTACTTTGACTTATTTTTTTGGAAGATCCCATTCTCTGCAGATTTATATATTATCCAGCTTTTGATAAACGAAATACTTCCAAAGTAAACTGTATTCACTAAATCGTTTTTGGAAACTTAAGACTCTCTATTGAGTAAAAAATTATCACTGCAATCGGCACAGCTTTGATTAGTCAGCCGCCATATGCAAATATATGTAAAGAAACAAATGAACGACGATAACAGAAATATGATACATCAAAATCGTTCGATTTATCGAGGTAAAGCGCACCAATTTAAAAATAATAATTTAATTCTATTGTTTATTGAAAAAAAGAAACTATTCCGAAAACGTTTCAAAAATGACAAAAAGTTGTTATATTGAAAGTAACGGTCATCAATACAGATATAAGATTCAATTTTTCATACAAAAACTATAAAAAATATATTCCAACTAATTGTAGGAAAATATGAAACTGTCTCAGTACTAACTAGTTTTAATTTTGACAATTGGCAATATATATATATATATATATATTATATATATATAATCGCATTTTTTTGCGCTAATCTTTTTCAAAAAATTTCTTTAAAAACAATATTTTTCACTACCTACAGTTGTAATTATGTTCATTTTTGTTTTTTTTATAAATTATTTATTGATAACAAAGGAAAATAATATATTATATTATGTAAGTGTTATATTAAAATGAATTACATATTTTAAAATTATCGCGCGCTAATTATTGCGACCAATTAGGTCGCTTTAACTGAATAGGTTATGTTCATTTCCACAACGTAACAGCTGTTCTCTAATCTAAAAGGATAATAAAAAACTTAAAGGAGATTCGAAATTTATTTCCGTTTTGTGTAAAATAGTGTTGTAATGATTAATTTTTTGTATATATGCAATTTAAACATTTTCAAAGTTTGTGTTTTTGATAAATAAGATTTATATGTGTAATATAAAATTTAAATATTAGCGCTTATTTTTGACGAAATCAACATCAGCTCCACCTGTACATTTCTAATCTCAAGATATGTTTCGCCCTTCTATTAAAATTTTACATTCCCCATGCTTTTAATTAAAAGTTTGATTTTTTCGAGAGTTAACGACATATCCATTCCACCTTTTTATGTCATGTATTTTTTTAGAAAGGACTTGTGAAAAGTGAAGCGTCTTGTGTGTCTCATTTGCAGCAGTAAATTCTCGTCGTGAACCCGGATTTTCCAACAAAAAAAAGTATGTATATACATTTAGTTATTATTATAATTATTATTACCCAGTTTTCAAACTTCAAATTTTCAATATTACGTACTGCGACTCATTTATTTTAGTTCAAAGACAAGTGTCCGAACTGAAGGTCGACTGACCAAAAAATGGCGCATGTACTTTTTTGCGTAATTTGTGATGGCACAAATTAATAATAATAACGTTTTTTAACTAATAAAAATTCATTTATATTGAAATATGCAATTATTCTAAAATTTAATAAATTTAAAGTTCAGTTATTTCAAAATCAAAAAATGCTTTCCAAGTGAAAAATTAATTATTTGAAATTCAGCTATTTTAAGGTTCAATGTAATTGAAAATCGGACACTGTAGACCTAATAAAAAGTACAAATTTTAAAAATGAAAATCGATTTAAACCAAGACAACGTTTTACACAAAATTTGAACAATATTTAATTATTCAGCTTATTTTCCAAAATTTTTTTCAGCGAATGAGTAAGTAAGAAGCAGAGAAAGAGAGAGAGATTAAAATGTTAGTTGTGATAAAAACGGATTTCAAAATATTTTGAAATCTATGTTTATCATAATTAAAAATTTACTTTTTTTTAAATAAATAATAAAAATTAATAAACTGATAAAAAATTAATAACATAAATTTCGATAAAATTAAAAATCTAAACATCAAATAGTTTGCTCAATTTATATATAAAGATAGAGAGAGAGAGTTTAAAATTTTAGTTCTGATAAACACGGATTTCAAAATATTTTGAAATCTATGTTTATCATAATTAAAAATTTACTTTTTTTGAAATAAATAATAAAAATTAATAAACTGATAAAAAATTAATAACATAAATTTCGATAAAATTAAAAATCTAAACAACAAATAGTTTGCTCAATTTATATATAAAGATAGAGAGAAAGTTTAAAATTTTAGTTCTGATAAACATGGATTTCAAAATATTTTGAAATTCGTGTTTATCATAATTAAAAATTTTTTTTTTTTAAATAAATAATAAAAATTAATAATGTAAATTTCGATAAAACAAAAAAATCTAAACATCAAATGTGTTGCTCAATATAAATTGAAATTTATATATAAAGAGAGAGGGAGAGAGGGGGGGATTAAAATTCGAGTTCTGACAAACATTTCAAAATATTTTGAAATCTGTGTTTATTATAATTAAAAATTCATTTTTCTTTGAAATAAATAATAAAAATTAATAATAAATTGATAAAAAATTAATAATGTAAATTTCGATATGGTAAAAAATCTAAACATCAGATGTTTTGCTCAATTTATATATACTTTTTTTAAAAATAAATAATAAACATTAATAAATTGATAAAAAAATTAATGTAAATTTCGATAAAATAAAAAATCTGAACATCAAATGTTTTACGCAATATAAATTGAAATTTATATTTCAATTTCAATTATTATTGAGCTTTTTTGATGTATAGAACTTTTATTTTATCGAAATTTATAGCATCTACCCATTTCAATAAATAGATGTCATTAAATATTTATTCTCTTTCAGTGAATGGCAAGAAACAAAGGGGTAGACCCAAGAAGGATCAAGAAACCGGCTATCGAAATCAAGTGAAGGACATGGCGAATAAAGGTCGGTAAACCTGGAAGTACCACATTCATAAAAAAAGTTTTTACATATGCCAACATTTAGGGCTCAATTAGGGCTAATTTAGTACCACATGCAAAAATTTAGGGCCCTTTACCTATTTGAAATAACCCTTGGTACTGCTGGCTTGACGTCAAGCTGGAAGTACCACACTATAGAACCTAAATATTTTTCAAAATTTCTTCCATAGGAATTTAGGGCTCATTTAGGGCTCTCAACTGGGACTATTTAAAATTTTTAAAAACCACCCCTAAGTACAAAAAAACATCCCCAATTATTTAAACTCAATTTAAGCAATCAATAATCATATAGGAATAAAGAGCTAAATCAGGGTTCTTCAATAGCACTAATTTCACTTTTTAAAAGTGCATCCCAACCACCCCAGCCAAGTAACTGATAGATAGTCAACCACAAAAACTACCCTCAACTAGTTAAAACTCAATATTTTCAAAAACAAACACATACGCAATTAAGGCTAATTTAGGGCTCTAAAATATAATTAGATTGGTTATTCAAAAATGATACACCAACTTTAAAAACTACCCCAGAGTGGTTCAAACTTAATTTTTTTAAAAAATAAATACTTAGGAATTTAAGGCTAATTTAGGGCTCTTAAATAAAACTACATTGAGTGTTCAAAAACGATACACCAACTTTAAAAACTACCCCAGAGTAGTTCAAACTTAATTTAAAAAAAAAGAAAACATTTAGCAATTTAAGGTTATTTTAGGGCTCTTAAATGGATCTACATTGGGTGTTCAAAAGTGACGCATTAACTTTAAAAACTACCCCAGAGTAGTTCAAACTTAATTTTTTGAAAAAATAAATACTTAGGAATTTAAGGCTAATTTAGGGCTCTTAAATGGAACTACATTGGGTGTTTAAAAGTGACGCATAAACTTTAAAAACTACCCCAGAGTAGTTCAAACTTAATTTTTTGAAAAAATAAATACTTAGGAATTTAAGGCTAATTAAGGGCTCTTAAATAAAACTACATTGAGTGTTCAAAAACGATACACCAACTTTAAAAACTACCCCAGAGTAGTTCAAACTTAATTTAAAAAAAAAAGAAAACATTTAGCAATTTAAGGTTATTTTAGGGCTCTTAAATGGATCTACATTGGGTGTTCAAAAGTGACGCATTAACTTTAAAAACTACCCCAGAGTAGTTCAAACTTAATTTTTTGAAAAAATAAATACTTAGGAATTTAAGGCTAATTTAGGGCTCTTAAATGGAACTACATTGGGTGTTTAAAAGTGACGCATAAACTTTAAAAACTACCCCAGAGTAGTTCAAACTTAATTTTTTGAAAAAATAAATACTTAGGAATTTAAGGCTAATTAAGGGCTCTTAAATAAAACTACATTGAGTGTTCAAAAACGATACACCAACTTTAAAAACTACCCCAGAGTAGTTCAAACTTAATTTAAAAAAAAAAGAAAACATTTAGCAATTTAAGGTTATTTTAGGGCTCTTAAATGGATCTACATTGGGTGTTCAAAAGTGACGCATTAACTTTAAAAACTACCCCAGAGTAGTTCAAACTTAATTTTTTGAAAAAATAAATACTTAGGAATTTAAGGCTAATTTAGGGCTCTTAAATGGAACTACATTGGGTGTTTAAAAGTGACGCATAAACTTTAAAAACTACCCCAGAGTAGTTCAAACTTAATTTTTTGAAAAAATAAATACTTAGGAATTTAAGGCTAATTAAGGGCTCTTAAATAAAACTACATTGAGTGTTCAAAAACGATACACCAACTTTAAAAACTACCCCAGAGTAGTTCAAACTTAATTTAAAAAAAAAAGAAAACATTTAGCAATTTAAGGTTAATTTAGGGCTCTTAAATGGATCTACATTGGGTGTTCAAAAGTGACGCATTAACTTTAAAAACTACCCTAGAGTAGTTCAAACTTAATTTTTTGAAAAAATAAATACTTAGGAATTTAAGGCTAATTTAGGGCTCTTAAATTGAACTACATTGGGTGTTCAAAAGTGACGCATAAACTTTAAAAACTACCCCAGAGTAGTTCAAACTTAATTTTTTGAAAAAATAAATACTTAGGAATTCAGGTCTAATTTAGGGCTCTTAAATGGAACTACATTGGGTGTTCAATAGTGACGCATAAACTTTAAAAACTACCCCAGAGTAGTTCAAACTTAATTTTTTCAAAAAAAAAAATATTTAGGAATTTAGAGCTAATTTAGGGCTTCTAAATAAAACTACATTGGGTGTTCAAAAACGATACAGCAACTTTAAAAACTACCCCAGAGTAGATAAATAATTGGGGATGTTTTTTTGTACTTAGTGGCCATTCATTAATTACGTAAGGGTCCTTAGGGGGAGGGGGGTTTATAAAATCTCTACATGGTCTTACGTGAGGGGGTGGGGGGTTGAAGCTAATCCTACGTAAGATTTTGACAAGTATTTTCCATTTGTATTGATGTAAATAATTTTTTAATGACATTAATATTGTTAAAAACTTACGTAAGAAGGGGGAGGGGGGGGGGTCCGAAAAATCTTATGTATCCTTACATGGGGATGGGGGGGTCAAAATTAGCCAAAATTGTCCTTACGTAATTAATGAATGGCCCCTTAGGGGTGGTGTTTAAAAATTTTAAATAGTCTCAGTTAAGAGTCCTAAATTAACCCTAAATTCCTAAGTATTTTTGTTTTCAATAAATTAAATTTGAACTACTCTGGGGTAGTTTTTAAAGTTAATGCGTCACTTTTAAAAACCCAATGTAGTTCCATTTAAGAGCCCTAAATTAGCCTTAAATTCCTAAATGTTTTCTTTTTTTTTAAATTAAGTTTGAACTACTCTGGGGTAGTTTTTAAAGTTTATGCGTCACTTTTAAACACCCAATGTAGTTCCATTTAAGAGCCCTAAATTAGCCTTAAATTCCTAAGTATTTATTTTTTCAAAAAATTAAGTTTGAACTACTCTGGGGTAGTTTTTAAAGTTAATGCGTCACTTTTGAACACCCAATGTAGATCCATTTAAGAGCCCTAAAATAACCTTAAATTGCTAAATGTTTTCTTTTTTTTTAAATTAAGTTTGAACTACTCTGGGGTAGTTTTTAAAGTTGGTGTATCGTTTTTGAACACTCAATGTAGTTTTATTTAAGAGCCCTAAATTAGCCTTAAATTCCTAAGTATTTATTTTTTAAAAAAATTAAGTTTGAACCACTCTGGGGTAGTTTTTAAAGTTGGTGTATCATTTTTGAATAAGCAATCTAATTATATTTTAGAGCCCTAAATTAGCCTTAATTGCGTATGTGTTTGTTTTTGAAAATATTGAGTTTTAACTAGTTGAGGGTAGTTTTTGTGGTTGACTATCTATCAGTTACTTGGCTGGGGTGGTTGGGATGCACTTTTAAAAAGTGAAATTAGTGCTATTGAAGAACCCTGATTTAGCTCTTTATTCCTATATGATTATTGATTGCTTAAATTGAGTTTAAATAATTGGGGATGTTTTTTTGTACTTAGGGGTGGTTTTTAAAAATTTTAAATAGTCCCAGTTGAGAGCCCTAAATGAGCCCTAAATTCCTATGGAAGAAATTTTGAAAAATATTTAGGTTCTATAGTGTGGTACTTCCAGCTTGACGTCAAGCCAGCAGTACCAAGGGTTATTTCAAATAGGTAAAGGGCCCTAAATTTTTGCATGTGGTACTAAATTAGCCCTAATTGAGCCCTAAATGTTGGCATATGTAAAAACTTTTTTTATGAATGTGGTACTTCCAGGTTTACCGACCTGGCGAATAAACTAACTGAGGAGCAAAGGAAATCAAGAAATAAGGCTAAAAAGGAGAGAGTGAAAGCAGAGAAGGAGAAGAAAAAAGAAGAAATTAAAGAGAAAGAAAGGCAAGAGAAGGAAGCCAGAAGTAGAAGGTCAGAGGAGAGGAAGAAGAGAGAGAAAAATAAGATGGAGGAAGCGAATGATAAACAGGAAACAGGCGAAAATGAAGACATGGAAGAGGCAGAGCAAAATGGAAAAAAGAAAGACGAAAAGAAAGAGGAGGAAGAGCAAAATGGAAAAGAGGAAGACGAAAAGAAAGAGGAGGAAGAGCAAAATAGAAAAAAGGAAAAAGAGAAAGTTGAAAATTTAGAAATAAATGAAACTAATATCGAAAAACTGACTGAAGCACTTAACAATCATCAGCATCAGTTTTCGAAAATGTTAAAGTCATTTTTATTGTCAACCAAAAATGAAGAGAAAAAAGAGAAAGAGGAAAAAGAGCAAGAGGAAAAAGAGAAGGAGAAAAAAGAGAAAGAGGAAAAAGAGGCTATGATAAGAGAGAGGAAGAGAAAAGAGGAAGAGATTAAAGAGAGAGAGAGGCAAGAGAGGAAGAAGTCTGAAGAGGAGAGAATAAAAAAACGAAAAGAGAGACAAGAGCGAGAAGAAAGAGAGAGAAACAAGAGAGAAGAGGAAATAAAAAGACGTGAAGAACTCCTCATTCGCGAAAGAAGTATTATTCTTCGAGAGCAGAACTTGCTGAACATGCAATCAACATTTTTTCAATCGTCGGTAAGTATGCCAGAATTTTTACTCACAATTTTCCAATCGGGCCTGTTTACTATCGAAATCTGAATTAGTAGAAAGCTACTAAGTCAGATTTAGAGAGTATATACAATGTTCTATTTAATCAAGTTTGAATTTATTTTAGATGCAAGCAAGCGGACGAGAACGTGGGCGAAGAGGACGTGGACGTGGTACAGGTAGAGGACAATTTGTCTCTCGATTCATGCCCAATAACCAATCCCAGCCGTACGATCGATCCCAGCCGTACAACCGATCCCAGCCGTACGATCGATCCCAGCCGTACAACCGATACCAGCAGTACAATCGATCCCAGCCGTACAATCGATCCCAGCCGTACAACCGATCTCAGCCGTACAACCGATCCCAGCCGTACGATCGATCCAGGCCATACGACAGGTTCCAGCCGTATGACAGATTCCATTAGCTTAACCTCATTTTTTGCGTTCAACGCACGTTTTGACATTTGTTCATTTTTGAATTAGATTTCGTTTTATAATTTCATTCGGTTTTTGTTCTCTGAACATTAAAATATCATCAATTTTTGTTGTGTTAAACTACAAGGAAACAATGTTTTTTTAAAATTGTCTGTAACTATTCAAACCCTGTAATAAACATAATTGCTTTATTAACACGCATTACTTATTTAAATAGTGAGTTGACATCATTTATTGATACCTCAGATTATAGAGTTTTTTTTCGTTATTAATTCCAGGTCATTGAATAATTTTTATTATAATTTGGCGAAATTTGGCACGTTTTTAAAAACATTATTAAAAAATTATTCATTTCTTGAAATATTATTACTTACCAAAAACAAATTAATTTTTTTGCACGTAGAAACCGTGTTTATGTAAAACAAAATTATTATTATTATTACTATTGTGTCAGCTAAAAAATGTAAAAGTACAAAAAAATAAGTGATCCTCATTAATTTTTATAATTTTCGATAAAAAAAAATACATAACATTTAAAAATCATTATTTTATTTTTCAAACAAAAAGAAGAAAAGGTAAAAATCTAGAGAGTTACACATTTATTATTCAGTAAAATATCGCAAATATCTAATTACTTATTTATTTTCATAAACAAGATATATTTGATACACAAATACTCTTATGAACTAATCATCATAACATTGCAAGTACATCTTTATATTCAAAATTACAATAGTTTATTGGTATAATACTTACATTATTTCTTATTACATAAATAATAAGTGAACGATTGGAAGTTTTTGAATTGTTGCCGCCAAAGCTTTCCACTTTTCGCAGCAGCCACTACCGGGGCGCTGAGGCTTACACACTCACACACTCGCGCGACGCCAACCTACGTGAGCCCAGCCGGACGCTCAGTGCTTTGCCGCCATGTTACCTGTCACTTTGCATGGGAAACAGTGCAACTTTTAATAGTTGTCTTTAACATTTATACCCAAATTTATGTTCCAAACTGAGAACAGCGAGATCGGGTACATCCTCCTCTATCATCTCACACCATTTTCAACCCAAAATATTCATTCTATTTTAAAAATAGTGAAAAGTACGAAACCCTATATTCCCATACTTGATCACGTGGGACTTTCCCACATGGCCTTAAAGAAAAAAATTGTAAAAAAAATTATTTCCCCAACAAAAAAATTTTTTCGGGCTAAAAATAATTTTTTTCATCATTTTTATCTTTAAAAAAATTTAATTAACTAAATTATACAATAATTTGTGTATTAATTTTTTTTAAAGAAAAAAATTGTCAAAAAAATTATTTCCCCAACAAAAAAATTTTTTCGGGCTAAAAATAATTTTTTTCACAATTTTTTTCTTAAGTAAAATTTAATTAACTAAATTAATCAATAATTAGTCGATGAATTTTTTTTAAAGAAAAAAATTGTAAAAAATTTTATTTCCCCAACAAAAAAATTTTTTCGGGCTAAAAATAATTTTTTTCATCATTTTTATCTTTAAAAAAATTTAATTAACTAAATTATACAATAATTTGTGTATTAATTTTTTTTAAAGAAAAAAATTTTCAAAAAAATTATTTCTCAAACGAAACATTTTTTTTGGACTGGAAATAATTATTTCACAATTTTTTTCTTTAGAAAAATTTAATTAACTAAATTAATCAATAATTAGTCCATAAATTTTTTTTAAAGAAAAAAATTGTCAAAAAAATTATTTCCCCAACAAAAAAATTTTTTCGGGCTAAAAATAATTTTTTTCACAATTTTTTTCTTAAGAAAAATTTAATTAACTAAATTAATCAATAATTAGTCCATGAATTTTTTTTAAAGAAAAAAATTGTAAAAAAAATTATTTCCCCAACAAAAAAATTTTTTCGGGCTAAAAATAATTTTTTTCATCATTTTTATCTTTAAAAAAATTTAATTAACTAAATTATACAATAATTTGTGTATTAATTTTTTATAGAGAAAAAAATTGTCAAAAAAATTATTTCCCCAACGAAACATTTTTTTTGGAATGGAAATCATTTTTTCACAATTTTTTTCTTTAGAAAAATTTGATAACTAAATTAATCAATAATTAGTCAATTAAATTTTTTTAAAGAAAAAAACTGTCAACAAAATTATTTCCCCAACAAAAAAATTTTTTCGGGCTAAAAATAGTTTTTTTCACAATTTTTCTCTTTAAAAAAAATTTAATTAACTAAATTATTCAATAATTAGTCGATGAATTTTTTTTAAAGAAAAAAATTTTAATAAAAATTATTTTCCCAACGAAACATTTTTTTTGGACAGGTAATAATTTTTTCACAATTATTTTCTTTACAAAAATTTAAATAACTAAATTATACAGTAATTTTTCAATTAATTTTTTTAAAAAAAAAAAATTTTCAAAAAAAATTATTTCCCCAACAAAAAAATTTTTTCGGGCTAAAAATAATTTTTTTCACAATTTTTCTCTTTAAAAAAAATTTAATTAACTAAATTATACAATAATTTGTCAAGTAATTTTTTATACAGAAAAAAATTTTAAAAAAAATTATTTATCTTTTTACAGAAAATAATTGTCAAAAAAATTATTTTCCCAACGAAACATTTTTTTTGGACAGGTAATAATTTTTTCACAATTTTTTTCTGTACAAAAATTTAAATAACTAAATTATAGGGGAATAGTGTCAGGGTTGGACACTTGTCAGGGTTGGACACTTGTCAGGGTTGGACACTTGGCTTTTTTTAAATAAGAACACTAGCGCCACCTGTGTGCGTACGTGACGAATCTTCAAGTAGTATTAGCTAACTTTTTGTGGCATTACATTTTTGGAGAATCAAAAGTAGCGTCTCTGGTGACTTCAGTGCAATCGAAGAGACAAAAAAAGTTTTGTTTGACTTGTGAATAAATCTAAAAAATGTGTAAAAAAAGCAAGAATTCGGCAAGATAAGCTTATTGAATGTATTGTGGGGTACATAATTTAAGAAGAAAAAAGTGAAGAATCGAATCGCGACACATGTCTAGTTATGGTTAGCACAATTCGAAAATGATGCTTCTAGTTAGGGTTGGACACTTTATACAGTTAGGGTTGGACACCCATATTAATTATGAATTTGACACAATTTATAAATAAATTTTATTTTATTGATATTTCAGTGCAAAATTGTGCCAAAGATATTAGAAAAATAATACTTAAATTGTATAACTTTTGTTCATCATTTCATTGAGTTATTTGGAACAATAAAGCGTTATTTTTTATAATTTGAGTTCATTCCTTTTTTAAACCCATGAAGCTTTACAATTTGTAAACAAATACAATAATTAGTTAATTAATTTATTTAAAAAAAAAATTTTCAAAAAAATTATTTCCCCAACGAAACATTTTTTTTGGACTGGTAATAATTTTTTTTACAATTTTTATCTGTAAAAAAATTAATAAATTAATTAATTCAATAATTAGTCATTTAATTTTTTGCCAGAAAAAAATTGTGAACAAAATTTTTTTGTCCAACGAAAAAATTTTTTTTGGACAGGAAATGATTTTTTATACAATTTGTAATAATTTGAGGTCTTATCAACATTTTTATTTTTTATAAACAAAAAGTTTGTACTTTTTAAATTAGCGCGCGCAATTATTAAATGTAAACTGGAAAGCTGTAATTTGCGGAGTCAGAGGTGCCAATTCTATAAATTTTAAACAAAAGACTGTTAAATGCATATATTTTCATTCACTTTTTATTTTCTGAATATAACCCTTGATTTCTTGACGTTTGAATTTTTTGAGTGTTTTGTAGTGCTTTTCTTTAGTTTGTGTAAAAAAATTTATTAATTACGGCCTGATTTTCCATATCTTTTATGTTCAATATTTTCAAATTTTCTGTAAGTAGAAATTTTCAATTTTTCGAAATTTAACATAGGTACTATCAACTTAATTTTTTTTAACTTCGACAAATTTTCTTTTTTTCGATTTCCAAATTAATGTATGATTTAGTTAATTAAATTTTATTTAGATAAAACTTGTGAAAATAACTATTTCTAGACCCAAATAAATTTTTTCGTTGAGGAAAAAATTTTTTTCTGTAAAAAAAATTAATTAATGAATTAATTGATTAAATAATTGTTTTACATAGAAACATTCTGAAAAAAATTATTTCCAGCCCAAAAAGATTTTTTTCGTTTGTGAAACAATTTTTTTAACAATTTTTTTCTGTAAAAAAAAATAATTTACTAATTATTAAATAAATAAGTTAATTTTTTTTTAAAGAAAAAAAATGTCAAAACATTATTTTCAGACCCAAAAAAATTTTTTCGTTGAGGAAATAATTTTTTTGATAATTTTTTTCTTTAAAAAAATTTAAATAACTAAACTATACAATAATTAGTTAATTTTTTTTTTACATAAGAAAATTGTCAAAAAAAAGTAATACCCCAACAAAAAAATTTTTTTTCGACTGAAAATAATTTTTTTGACAATTTTTCTCCCTAAAAAAAGTTAAGTAATCAATTAATTCAATAATTTATTAATTAATTTTTTTACAGAAAAAAAATTGTCAAAAAAATTATTTCCCCAACGAAAAAAATCTTTTTGGGCAGGAAATAACTTTTTTGACAATGTTTCTATGTAAAACAATTAATTAATTCATTCATTCATTAATTAATTTTTTTTACAGAAAAAAATTTTTTACTCAACGAAAAAATTTATTTGGGTCTAAAAATAGTTATTTTAACAATTTTTCTTTTTTAAAAAAATTAATGAAATACATTATACATTAATTAATCAATTAATTTTTTTTACAGAAAAAAATTGTAAAAAAATTATTTCTACAACGAAAAAATTTTTTTTGGCCTGGAAATAATTTTTTTTACAATTTTTTTCAATAAAAAAAATTAATGAATCAATTAATTCAATAATTAGTGAATTAATTTTTTTTACAGAAAAAAATTGTCAAAAAAATTATTTCTCGAACGAAAAAATTTTTTTTGGCCTGGAAATAATTTTTTTTACAATTTGTAATAATTTGATGTCGTATCAAAATTTTTACTTTTTATAAACAAAAAGTTTGTACGTTTCAAATTAGCGCGCGCTATTATTAAATGTTAAAAGAAAAGCTGTACATTTACGGAATCAGAAGTGCCAATTCTATAAATTTTAAACAAAAGACTGTTAAATGCATATATTTTCATTC